AGTATCGAATTCAACCAATACTCTAATACCTCGTTGTCTCCCGTATTCAATCACATTCTGGACATCTTGTGGTGAATAGACATGTGTTTCGGGATTATAGGCGCCCTTAAGACTCAAATCGGGAAACCTTTTGCTCACATATGGGAACGACTGCTCGTCAACGATATGCCAGTGAAAGACATTGAGTTTATTATAAGCCATTGCATTCAAATTCTCATACAAGACATTCACTGGTATGTAGTGTCTGGAAGTGTCCACTAATATACCTCTGTATGCAAATCGGGGGAAATCTCTGATATCTGTTTCATTAATAACGAATTGGTTTTGTCCGACATTTGAGACCAATTGAGAGAATGTCTCCAATCCTCTGATCGCACCCCAAATGGTGTCGGACTCGAGACGAGCCGTTCGGGCGCTTCCGTCGACCACAAGATTGTATTTCTCATTCATCTCCAAATGCGGTAACTTTTCGCAAGACTTCACATCGATTTCAATACCACTTAAATCTCCTTTGAAATTGGCGTTGAGCTCAAAGTTTTGGCTATTTTGATAAAAGGGTTTATAATCAGTGGCACCAACTCTAGCGCAGCCCTGAATGAAACCCGATTTCTTAGTTCTGGTGATGGCATCACTCAGAAGATCGCATTTGTTCACAGATTTATCAGTGAAGACAAACTTTGTTGAGTCTATTTGTAGGAAGTTTGGGCTCGAAGTAGCGTCTTGTGGGTGAGGCCACACATCCACCTCTCCGTCCACTGCCTGTAAACAATTATTACAACAAAATTTATTTCATAACTATTGTTAATATGGTATACAATTTCATACCTGGCTTTGTATCAAAGCAAACAACGCGTAAAACTTAATAAAATACAAGACAAACATTTTGTCTCAAAGGATGGCCGAGAAATGAAATAAAAATTTTCCGTAAGATATTATATAATCAATTGTTTTTGTAAATTTCCAAACGATAAGCGCATACACTTGAAAATACTTTATCCCATAATTATATCCATTCGCTACTAATATAACAATAATATCTATATTAGATTAAAATAAATTTTATTATCAAAAGGTATTACATAAGTCAGATTTTTGAAACACAGGTACAGGTATTTTCTATTAAATTTGTGTCAAGTATTGGCTTAAAAGTGATTTACAACTAATGACAAGAAACCTATTCTTCAGATATTAGGGAATTCTTATTCCTTACGATTACAGACAGTTGTCGACCACTTTTAAGTCCATAATAGCCTCTAAATATGATTGCAGTTATTATTACTCTATTTTATTGATTTATCATTCATTGCTTGGAATAACAAAGTTTTCCAACTTAATCAATAGTGTATAATAATTATCAACATAACGTATTTACGTCTGTTTAATAGCAAATGCACCTAAAGTAGTATAATTAACTTTAAAAGCATAAACTATAATTTTTATAAATTTTATAACTTCATCAACAATACAATTACATAGAATTTAATAGGTTTTATAATATAACTTCACTTTGATTTGGATAACAGATTGGACTGGAAGTACAAGTCTGTGAGTATTTAACTTACTTTATGGGCTATTAATGAAATAAAACAGTTTTAAAGTCAATCACCTGGCAAAAAATATTCCACAGTTTAGTAATACTGAATCAGTCTATAATTTCTGTGAATAATGTTCATGTAACATTTAATGTAAAGTTACAATATAAATGTATGTAAATCAAAATTATAATCCTGTATTATTTGTGGATTTTAACTAATTTTTAAAGATTATTATTCAATTATATTAAATTGTATTCATATTATAATTGATTATATTATAATTAAATTATATTAAAAGTTAACTTTTGTATTTTTAATCTAATAAACTATGAAAAACCTTATTTATGGCATTGTTTGCAATAATTTGCAATAAGTTATATTTGTGTTTGAATTAAATGCACATTTATAGTCAATCCACGGAAAGTCAGAAAACTTAACTTTGGATTAAATTTTGGCAAAATACTTTGCATGGACTAGACTTTAACTTTACTTTAAAAGTTAGAATTTTGCCTCGACTTTAAGAGTAAGTTTCCTTTCGTGGACGAGACTTTAACTTAACTTACATAGTAAACCAAACAGCGCATGTGGCTTAACTGGGTAGAGACTAAATTAATGCCGTACAAAATATCGTAAATAGATATATTAGAGGTATTATAGATGTCTGTGTATACTATTTTGCATGTTAAAGTTAAAGTTAAGAATCTTTCGATGGACAAAATTAACTTAAGCTTTTTAAGTTTAAGTTAAGCTAAATATTTTCCGTGGACATAGTATTAATTAGTAAGCCTTATGTTCCCGAATAATCGCTAATATTTGCATTAATGAAATTGATTAAAACTGATCCATTGTTTGCAACCAATGAGGTAAATTCCAGCAATCAATACAAGTATTTTCACAATAAACTGATAAATTATTTAATGTTTTAATTTATTGAAATTTATTAAAGGTTTATTTATCACAAAAACATTATTTATCCAAAATAAATAAGTTATAAAATTAAAACCCCGTTCAGAAAATTAGCTTTTATATCAATCCATTACAATATAAATATTATTTAACACAAAATTATTTTCAATAATTTGCACAAAATATAAGAATCGGAGGAAAACAGTATTTTCAACGATCACATCATGAGAGGGTGTAATCGCACCGACAATAACCCGGGCCTTCATTAGGCTCTAATCGGAGACCCCTTTCAATCAAAAGGCAATTATGTTTGTGAAATCGTTTGACGGCTTTGTCGGTACTGTTCATCGCTTTGGGACTCCAGAGTCGCTCAGCGGTGGCCGACGCCCGGGGCCTGTAATTGACACATCAATTATAAAATTAAAAACATTTGTATTAATAATTAATAAGCAATATCTACCATGTTCTACTGATAAGATTGGCGCCGTTAATATATTCTGACCAAAGCGCTGCTTCGCCGCCAATAACCAGATTATTTTGCTCGACAGTACCGTTAAAGCTGTGCGGTTCGCACCGGTAGTACTGTTTCCAATCCGAGCCATAACTAATGAGATCCAAATACCAACACGAAGACAGTATAGCTCTGTAGCCCTCAGAGGTTATTTTTGCTCGACAGTACCGTTAAAGCTGTGCGGTTCGCACCGGTAGTACTGTTTCCAATCCGAGCCATAACTAATGAGATCCAAATACCAACACGAAGACAGTATAGCTCTGTAGCCCTCAGAGGTTACGTTATGCAACTCCGGGCGCCAATACTTCTCTTTGTCAGTACCCCACGAGCCGATCCACACGTGGACAACAGTGTCCGGCTTCAGATCAACGCCATTGTTAAACACTTCCTCCCAAATGATATAACTTTTGTTTAATTTCTTGACGATATTCAACACTCTTTGCATGTAATAGTCTTCCAGTTTTGAATAATTAGTAATATTTTTCTCTTTCATAAATTTATTGATGTCTGGATTAGAGGCCCAACAGTCGAAGTCGACCTCATCGCCACCCAAATGAATATATTGATCGGGAAAAGTGTTGCCGATTTCGGTAAACAATTCCTCCAAAAACGTGTAGACATTCTCTTTAGTGGGATCTAATGGTCCGGTCTTTCCGTTTTTGGTGCCATTAGTGTAACATTCAGTGAGAATCCCCTTCTGTCCCCTTCCCCAAGAGGTCGTGTGTCCGGGAGTATCGAATTCAACCAATACTCTAATACCTCGTTGTCTCCCGTATTCAATCACATTCTGGACATCTTGTGGTGAATAGA